TGACACACCCGAGTTCAAACAATGTCAAGCGATTTTTCTTTTGCTGAATGGACCTGACTTTTATATGTAATTTACATTTATGAAAATTTGATTTTTTCAGATATTATGAATGTATTAAGATCATTTTAATATGGTATGTCGATTTGGGTTTTAACCGGGAAAATATCAGTTTATATTTATTAATAAAAAAAAGAATTAATAATAATAATTCTCAATTAATAACTAGTTAAATAATTATAGATATCTTCAACACAGCAATGATCTGAGAATCTTTTAAGAAAAGGTATGATTTAAATCTAGATTGACCTAATACATCGATGTGCTTTACGTTGAAAGGGAAGTAATGCTATTCGCCTAAAATCCTTAAACTGATGCACTAACTTCCAGGTTGCTGGAAAACACCATTGATTGCATCACATCTAAAACTGCCAGGGAACCCCCAAGATATTTGTTTAATTTATTCAAAAGCCCTATCTTCGAGCTATTGTAAAGCATCTATCACAGTGCTTCATTTTTAGAACTCATTTTCACATACCTAATAATCACATGACAGTAGCATGACGTCAGTAACTTCAATAATGACGTATTGACTTCCTAAGATCAGAATTTCTCTTTATTGGTTGTTTCTCCTATCGTATGAGGAAAGTAACGCAGGACTCGTATACTTTCATTCAAGTGATATCTTAATAAGGAAGTAGGTAGTTCAGGTACAAAGTAATATGTCAGTATCTATATATGATACAGACATCTCAGTTCGAACGACAGAATAAACAAAGTTGTGTCAGCTTAAGGATTCGTTTATGTGTATTTTTTATCTAGATAAAACATTCCTATATTCCTATATTCCTATATTAGAATCAATTGCTAATGTTGAAAGAACGTGTATGGTTCAGATCATTTCGGTTGTAAACATGCTTTAAATACTAGCTTAAGCTTACAATGTTATGCATTGTTAGTTTGGATGTCATTGATGACCATCCGACATTACCTTGTTCCGAACTTAGCAGATCGGTGTTAATTGGTGGAAGTTTTCGTTTTCGTGAACATAATATATTTGCTTCATTTTCACTGAATATCTGTTCCTGCTACTGCTTCTGCATATTCTAAATATTATTAAAATGCTTAAGGGGCGGGGGAGGGTATCTTTCTGTAGATAGCGTGGTGATTGTGCGTAGTGACTCATTATTAAGCTTTTAATAGATTATAACAATATCGTATATCTTCTGAAATACATATCTTAATGTTGATATTTGATCGATATGTTGACATAAACAGATCAAGTTTGTGGTTTTAATTCAATAAAAAATATGTTTTCTTTGCACTTAGGAAGTGTATTTCCTGCATCATAAAAACAGTCTTACATTAAACATTTTGACACACTTCGTTCTCACAAATTGATTATGAAGATAAATACGAAATAGCATTTCATTTTTGGTAAGAATAAAGATAACAGTCAAATTTTCACTTAATATATGGACTGTTACAACAAGCTTTCGACGTGTTTTTTTGTGAAACCCATTTTTATTTTATAATTGTTTATATTTTTTTCTTAATCCGTTGAATGTAGTTTACAATTTTTCAAAGCCTATAAATTTTACCAATGACCAGTGGTGATAGTTATTGTGATGTGTTTACTTATGATTTAACAGTATATGATATCATTGCCTCATCCATACAAAAACTATATCTAACGAAATAATTGTGATGTCTTCATTGGCTGACAATCACCCCTTGCTAACTATGAACAAACACTTTAATGGGATTTAATAGAAAAGAGACGAACGCAGGCAAATATCTGCCTCTTCACATATCAATGATACAATACATACATATAATTCGTTAACATTCAATTTGATCATACATGTAAAAACTATTTTTCCAGTGTTCATATAAATTGTCCTCGAATTATTTAATTGAAGTTGAGTGTATAACTCTCTGTGGAAAACTGTTCCATATTCTTACTGTCCTGTAAATGCTGAAGTTTTTGAGATCAAAATTATAATGGTTGATCTCTATGTTTTGTGAATGACCGCGATATCTTGATGAATTATCTGGTACAAAGAGTCCATTACTGACTCTCTCATCAAATATATTGTTAATAATCTTGGTGATGATTGTTTTCTAATCATTTTTAACCAACAAGCAAAACACAATAAAAGGTGTGACCATGTACATGCAAAATGTTTTCTTCAAATGAAGTCCTTTAAATACCTGAAAGGCTTAAATGTGTAATCAATCAATAGATCATATAATGATCAAGGTAAAAAGCATGTATTCTCGTACGTAATGTATCTCTGAACATTGCTTATCAAAGGCCCTACTTTTTGGATGGGCAACTAGTCTTATTACGTTAATTACGTTACGTTATCATGGAGGCACGGTAGACTAGTGGTAGGACGTCGGGTCGTGACCGAAGGGTTGCGGGTTCGAGTCACGGCACGGCGCTGTGTTGTATCTTTGAGCAAGATACTTTACTCCGCTTGTCTAGTGTATTCAGCTGTAAATTATTACGTGGTTGGGCAGTGCTAGAATTGTTGAATGCTAGTTGTGAGCGCCGAAATGGCAGCACTACCCGTATGCTCCCCAGGGAGTTGAGAAAAATATTTGCTTGTTGCAAAGGCCCTATAACCACGGATAATAATTTGTGAACCGCTTTGAGACAACCTACGAACTAGGTTGTGATGAAGCCGTATATAAGAACCTCGAATTATTATATATTATTTATTATTATGTAAACTAGTTATATTCTTTTCATTTAGTCTGTAAAATGTTGCCGTAATTAAATTGACCTTCAGTGTACCGTGAAGTTCCTTGTTGTGTCGGTTGGACAAAGTTACAAATACTTTTACATCCTGCATAAATCGAGGCTTATCATTTCCAGAAAAGATGTGTGAGCGAAATGGCAATCATGATATAGGTGTGTCAAAGGTCTCGTAAAATAAATATTTAAAAACCAGGAATTTTCATATACACCTCACATCTGCAAAAAACCTTAAGTTGCTTCTCTCAGATATTTCTGTGTAAAATTCCTTTAGAAAGAATTGTTTCAGCGAAAACAAAACAAAAATATTTTTCTGACAAATCACCCTGCTATATATGACGTAATCAAATTTCAATATGTGACGTCATTTAAATGATTTCATCAGCTTTCATTGTTCAATGAATAGTGGATAAACATAATCTACAATCCCACGATACTGATGTTTCAAATAGGGACAGCTCTATCCTAACCCCAAAGCACCTTTGCAAGTGATTCGTCAGATAAATATATGTTTTCTAAGATGCGGCACTCTGCAATAACAAAATCTACTGTCATTTTATTAAAGAAATGTTTCAATCTTTTGCAAGTACTGAAATGTTTTTAAAAAATTGAGATAAAAGCCAAAAACTTATTCAGCGGGTTACGCACTGTAGAAAAGAGGAAGTAGTTAGGGTGCATGGGTGGCCCCAATACACCAGTGATGTCTGGTAAATATCGTACAAATGAAGCCATATCTTATATCAAACATCATCTCTTTTTCGTATTTACTCAGATATTCCGAATAAGCTAACCTCGGAACAGTCTAGATTTCACGTTCGACTAACGTTGTTTATATGCTGTTTGTTTGGTGTTTTTTTAATTGTAATCATGTCCTTATGCTCTGAGCTAAATTAATGGCTAAAATAAAATAATGATTATCTTACATTGTCTGTGTGGATGGTGTGAATACAAACAGCATTGCAACAAACAAACGGAAGCGTATTCAATTGTAAAATCAGAACTAGTAAGACCTTTCTTCAAACAATTGTAAAATCAGAACTAGTGAGACCTTTCTTCAAACAATTGTAAAATCAGAACTAGTGAGACCTTTCTTCAAACAATTGTAAAATCAGAACTAGTGAGACCTTTCTTCAAACAATTGTAAAATCAGAACTAGTGAGACCTTTCTTCAAACAACTGTAAAATCAAAACTAGTGAGACCTTTCTTCAAAACATTTACTCGTCTGGTATAACATAAATACTATTTCCTCCCAGTCCCTTTCGAGCAGTTCATCAAAACATGTGAATTCAAAGTCAAATGTATATCACTGATTTTTGAAGCTTACACGAAGTTGGTTACAGCAATCAAAAGATAGGCCTGCAGTTGCATTGACTGCTGTTCAATAACTCGGGGGAAACATTTCCATAAACTATGACGTCACAACTGATGATGACGTCGAATAGCATGAATACTTGATGTTATAATTAGAAGTTTGACCATCGAAATAACGTCCAGGGTGTTACCCATTAGTGGGTAACCAAAAATGTTAACCAACTTCTAACAGTTTATTCCATTGAGTGAGGTAACTTATAGTGGTTGTGGGAGATGATTAATTATGGCTTTATTAATAGTGTTATAGATTGGTAAAATCGTCGTGATCGCTTTTTGCTAATGTATTACATCAGTATCGACTCCACTATCGATTAAAATTGATCTGCGTATTATAACTGAGTACCAAGAAGATAATTTTCTGTCACTTTTTTAGGTTTCTTTTTCTTTTTTTTTATAATGAGATGTTCTACCATGGTAAACGTTATTGCAATTGTATCGTTCAATTTTTTCTCAACGTTTCATATTGTTCTAACAAAATGATGAATTAGATTCCAAATGACATATTTCTGCAATAAAACTTTTTTTATATATAAATATACACTCTTAATATACTCGACAGATACTAATTCAGTAGATGATCAATGAGCAGATACCATCCGGAAATATGTGGATTTGTTTCTGTACTGTGCTACACGTTATTTTAAGGATGTCCTCTCATTGGGTGTGTACTCATTCTTGCGGCTATTCGAAATAATTGCTCTTCATGTTTAAAACATAATTGCTCCACTCTAAATCTGAATGGACAAGGATTTTCCCATACTAGGAATAGGGAGGAAGCTCTTTTATTAGCAAACATTTATTTTGGGAATTCTCGAATTGGTCTATAAAAGAACTGAAAAATTGGATTGAATCATTACTGAAATTGTTCTGACTAGAAGTTGAAGAATACACTTGAGAAAACACTATGACTTTGCTACGTGTATTGCAGGTACAATGTAGCTAACGATCGCTTCAATAACCTGATATATATATCAAAGTGAACTAGATGTCTTTATTTTCACTCATAAAGATTGGAATTGTAGATTAATGAAAGTGACAAGTTTCTATAAATGATAAGATCAGTAATGTGGTATTTAACATTATGTTTAGCTATAGAGCGTATGATTATTGAGAAAATCATTGGGTTAGAACACCATAAACTAATATACAATGTTTACTTTATCACCTTTCCTCGTCTGAGTATGGTGTTTAATTTTACAATTTTCCTTTGGTAATATACAACATGCTATTGATATACTTGACGCTTGTTTGCTTGTTCCGGCATATACAAATCGACTTAGTTCTCAGCTTGTGGATGAAATATCCAATACAATATAGCTTTCTCGTTTATTTGAATGAACACTTAACACTAACAACGTTGTGTATTTCGTAGATTTCACTATTTCTTACAATTGCACGAGGGGACCCTTTACCAACACGACAAGAGTGTCGTGAACCAGACGATGATTATTTGAGCCTGATGCGCAGGAGTGTACTGGAGGATTTTGTTTACATGTCTGAGGCACATGTACAAATCGATGAAGTGACAAAACAGTAAGTAAATATAAAGGGAAAATAAAATTGTAAAAAATACTCAATAAATGTCATTGGTATGCTTTGTTGATAACGTTTAACGGTATATATTGTATGCGTTCGACGATCATTTATGCTTCATATGTTGAAATATTTTGTGTCTTCCCGTTAAGTCTAATGTTAGGTTTTGTTCATAGTAATTTTTTCTTCTTTTTCAATGTAAATCTTTCGTTTGTTCATATTTTGAGTTCAATACGGGTTTTCTTGATACTTCGGTATGTTCTTGTTTTTGTGTTCATGTCGCAACGACTCCGAATTCCAGCTTTGTTTACACTTGGTGACAATGTTTTAATTTTTTGGGGGTTGAACAGTTTGTAAATAACAATTTCTATATTTGATTTTGTTATTTTAACGCAGGGACGAACAAAATTGTCCGCCAAGAAGCTTGCTATCTAGCCAAAATAGCTTTTCATTGTGCCCGACGTACCAGGAACTTGACAGAGACGAAAGGCGAACACCATCTGACATCCTTCAAAACAGGTGTCGCTGCGAACGTTGTGCCATGCGCCGTAGACGACATCATAAGTACATTTGTGAGTCCGTCTACCGGTATATCCCTGTTATCATGAGGGTGGGGTGTACAAACGGTATTTATGATTATATGATTGCTGAACAGAAAGTATCAGTTGCATGTGTTTGTAAGGAGAAACCTAAATCTAAGCTAGGCAATCGAACTGTCGTCTCCACTGAGCAAATGATGGAACAGTATGGGTCTAGTGACGGTGAAAGTATTTCTGAAACAGAAAAAATGGCCACGAACAATGAGAATGCAAAACTATTACGGCCTGAACTGAAAAAAATGTCCGAGGTATTGGAATCATTGGTAAGTGTCCTTGACTCCAATCAAAATGAAATTGATATGGAAGAAATTCAGGAACATCAAAGAGCAGAAAGTTCACCTGAAACTGAGAAAATGCCCAAAACATTCGTACCAATCGAAGACGCTGTTGATACAAATGAAGACGTTCAAGATAATCAACCGGAAATACCAATTTTAGACACAGAGAAAATGCCAGAAATTTATTCATCCAGGGAAGATATAATGGAATCTGCTGAACACAATACAGAAGAGATGAGTCCAAATCAACGAGACATGACGTCAAACCCAACCGAAAAAATGCCCCAAGACTTCCAACCAGTAAATGCTCAACCCCACAATGCGTTTATTCCTGACAATCAGAAAATGCCTACCGACTTTGAACATATCCATGAACATGGTACGCACTTCACAAGTCATGAACGAATGCCGAAATAAATGGTTTACATGGACGTTTTAGCCGTAGTCGTGAAGATGGCATTGAATCACATATTCTGAAAAAATCTTTATCGAAGTTTCTTTAAATATTTGCCTAGAAGGGGAAAGAAGAGAAAGGCGGTCTTTCGAGGATCAGAATGCAGTGCATTTAAGTACGAATTACTTATTAAAACACTGTAAATCCGTTTGGGAAATTACTGTTGTGATACTCAGATTGACGTTTTTATCGTTCAGACAGACAAGTGATTTCATCCAAGCATATCTTGCTTGACGAAATCGTTGACAGGTATTTATTTTACAGTGTTGTAAACACAAACTGGCTATGGTCTATTTAAGTGTTTATTATATTTGTTAAATGTCAAGAGACAATGAAGTCCATTCTACCTCGTTAATGTACATTGCATGCCAACCTTTAAATGTCCGATGAATAATTATTGTCGTTTACATTTATACAAATTTACAATATTCATTTTATCTACATATGGGTTTTCAGATTTTTTAACATATATCTATGCTTTAAAATAAAGATTTTTCGTTTAAATTGAGTTTTGTTTTTCCGTTGACTTTACTTTGACATCAAAACGCATGGTAGTTAGTGATATATTATTTTCACAGATATGAACATTTCTATCTAGTCAAAATTTCCCAGTATATATTTCCGGAAGCAGAATTCGATGTATTTCATTTTGTATTTTTATCAGAAAATAATAGCTGTTTAAATCTTAGAGGACTTGTAATTAGCCAATTGAAAGAGTAGTTCAGTAATGCAACCAATCGCTATTAAATCAGAGTGCTAGCAAGCCATTGAAGTTGTTTAAGATCTTTTCCAACATATTTTCGATCACAGTAACAGTTAATTATCTTCTTTCAAGCAATGCATACAGTTTATTTACTAACGTTAAGAAAGAGAGACTTTGAACCAAATTTTCCGACTGAGAATTAATAATACACTATTCTTTTTGAAATCTCCTGTGTTGCTTATGAGTCGATAACCCTTATGGTAGAATGGTTCTACCTATCCAATTTTCTTAATCCCCAGCTTTGATTTTACGGTTAAAAACCTTATAAAGCCGTAAAAATGGAATCTTCGGTAGACTTATTACTAAATGGAACACATTTTCACCCTACACCATATGTTATGATGATTTTTTTAAATATTAAAGCAATGCTACCTATATATCATATAGGCAATATGCAAAACAGGAAATCATAGAAACGAAACCAAATCATAATATGCGGAAAATTCGAATATGAATCTCGTAATATTGAAAATACCTCAGTCAATCAAACTAATGTCTTATACGGTATGTCATATTACATAAAAAATAATATTTTCTATAACGATTATTTGTCAGAATATTTCACGCGCGGTACATGTTCTGCAAATTAATTTCAATACTTGACAAACATAAGCAAAGTAATTGTTCATACAGCTAGTCCTAAGTTCAATTTGAACTAACGTTGTATTCATTGCAATGATGAAATTCTTTCAGACATTTTCCTATATGATGGACAATATAAATATGGCGAGTAAACCGAATCACCAAAACGACACAGCAACTTCATCAAATCTGTTCACGAACATTCACTGGAAATACAATAAAGGATATCTTTGAAGATAGGACGTTCTGGTGGGTTTCCAATATTATCACGAGATTATTTAAACCTAAAAAAAAAAAAATCATTCAGATTTCATCATTTTTACTCGGAGTTTTACAAGACCTACTTTTGGTTTGAATAGTTACAAAAATAGAAAAAATAAATGTACACATTTAGATCTTGTATTTGTTTTTCAGTGCACAAAACCTCGTTTAGAAAGACAAACATTCAACTATTAAAACAGATGGGAGAATGAGATTAACAACTTACCATATTACCTATTTACAGGCATGGAGGATTTATAAGTAAATTATGTAATTATAGTGGCGCAGTAATAGAGGATGTTTTAAATAACTAAAAGATGGACAACCTTAGTTAACTTAGTGATAANTAAAAAAAAAAAAAAAAAAAAAAAAAAAAAAAAATATCGAAGATAGATGTAAAATTATATGACAGATAGGTAATAATAAACTTATTCAATACCAGCTTATTTCAGCGGTCGCCACAATAGCTTAAAGAATTGCTTTCATAAAAAACACATTCACTTTCATGAAAAAAACATACTGGATATTTCTGTTGTTTAACACTGTGAAATTCTTTATCATGAATTAGTATATGTGTATGTACATTATCGTTATTAATTGCATTTAATGCGGAAAACGATTCATTTCAAAACAAAGCAAGTCTATCAAGTGAAACAGAAAGTCAAAACTTTAACCTTAATAAAAACACAAAAAAGGCAATGATTGGTAATTATTAGACAACAAAACAAAACAAAAGCCGCGAACAAACAAAAGGAGGCGAACGTGACGTTTAAGTGCGTTGTGTTTTTAATTTTAAATGTTAATGATAAATGCTGAGTAATGCGAGTCAGGACATATGTTCAAGGCCTAGAGATACCCGGTCCATTACAATACAATAGGGAGGAAACTCTACCTGGAATGTAGTCGGTCACGCAATCAATTGCAACAGTCATGTAGGATTGCGTTTCGTGCTACATACTGACCGTTTTGGATTACAACCCCTCCAATACCAAATGGTTTATACAAGAAGGGAAAAATTACCCTGAGAATTCCAAAGTACATCGCAACAAGGAAGTCTTGAATGCCCACTATGACATTTTCTCTGGCCACCAGATCGGAAACGGTTCTAGCCAATCTGGAAAACTATTATTATAGGAAAACGGAAGCATGTGGATTTTTTGGATTTTCCTTTCATTAAACAATATAAAAGCTCGTTTTTTTCATCAAGATTTAATTTGAGTTTGCAGCAAAACAATATTGACTACTATGGCGTACTTTATCAAGGTAATGTATATAATTTGAACTTACTTTTTATGATATCATGATGGCATAGGAAAATATACTATTTCTGAGTATGATGTGACGGTTTATGTTTTAGGTTATGCTCATTAGGGAGCTTTGGTTCTTTGTAACTAACCCGGCTCACGCTTTCTGGACATGGCAGTTCGTAGATTTAACCTTGGTAAACATGGTGTGTCGTCATTTATGTAACCCTTCTGGAATACCTGGTTTTATTACTCTTCTTCTTTTATAGTAGCCTCCATGTTTGTTCATTTGTGTTTTTTTCGTATTTTGGTTTAGTTTTATCAATTTCGATTTCGAATTACGGTTTTGCCTCCACTTGGAGTACATGAACAGATATATACTGCATTAGCTTAGAGTCGTGTAGGTTTGGTGCGAGACACGTTTTGCACTGAACAAAGGGCATAATTGGTGTCGCATTTAGATAGGATGCATTTACCTTCTTGGGGCATCTGTTTGGCATCCGGTTTTATGTAGGGTTTCACGATGTCCTTTCTTGTACCAGTTTATTACCTATTGTTGCGTTTTATATTGCATCTCCAGCATCTTATTTTGTTATTTGTATTAAGATAGCAATCATGACGTTTCCTCGTGTGATATGAAGAGTGCATTACGGTCATAGTTCATTTTAGTTGATATTAAGAAAAAGCAATTTTACATATTTTTTTCAATGTTTTGTATCATAATTGTTTCTAGATATATTTCAAATATCTTTAAAATGAAATTACATATCATTGCTGATAATAGTTTATTACATATGTGTTATTAATCAATTGTATACATGTTCCTACGTTTTGAAATTAGTTGATTACAACAGTCTAATATCTATAAAAACGTTAATGGTATAGTAACATACAGCTTAAATATACTTGGTTTGACTGTTATTTGTTTTGCCTGCAGGTAGGATGCTCTGCGGTTTATATATTAATATGCAATTAAGGGCGTTTACTGCGAATATGTATGCACGAACGTCACTGTGGATCATAACTGCATAACAATTCTTTAAATGCCGTTTAATCTGTATATTTACATCATAAATATCTAGTAAACCGTGACGAATTCAACAAGGTGCTTTTATAAATACGACGTGTATCCGTATTACTTGAACGACAATGAAGGGACAACCCTACAAACACGTTGTCAGTTTAGTGATTGATAATTGTTGTTGATAGATAAGTACAATTTTCAATGTCACATTGACATATTAAAATCGCAACATAACCATTTTTTAGTGAAAAGTAACAAAATTTAATTCGATCTGATAGATCCATAGATTACACATGCAACACAGATGCGAGCTTAGAACTCTACCTATATCGATGGTTAAATTATACACATGTACATAAATCAAAATGCAGGATTATTAACACATGCAAAATACCTCAGCAAAAATAAAATCAAGTTGATTGCTTTGTTTGAACTTGTTGCCGATTTAGTTAATAGTATTTGTTCGAAAGAATGAAATCATTTTACCTCTTCTATGTTTTCAAAGGATAAGATTTGATGTAGTCTTTGATGAGTTTGTTTTCCCACAAATTATTACTAATTGTACAAAGCATTTAGTGTCAAAGCGACAAGACAACATTGCTTAACAAATACGAGCAACGAACAATACGTCAGACAAAGAAATTGACGAATGTTCGACTAAAGCGAAAATATTTAACGGCGTATGATATAACTATCCCATTTGCATTAAAATATCTTTACACGAACATTATATTGTTTTCTGCCTTATATCGTCCGTATTGCTTCTCTAAATTAACATGAATATCCAGAGATCTGAACTGTTTCCATTATTGCTACTGGTTTGTGTTAAAACTTACAACCAAAATGTTAAACGTTTTATGTGCCTTAATCATTTAGTTCCGAAAGCATTGTTAGAAATGTTCATTTGATGGCAAACTTAGAATGACACGAATCATGAGTATATGGCTTAGGGGCAAGTTTTAACGAAGAAAGGAAATTAAATAGCTAACTTCCGGTACGTCATGTACGAAAACCTTTTTAAAGTTTTTTGGAACAAGTTATTCAAAGGATAATTAGATAATTGGTGACTTATCGAAAACAACCTGTTTCAAAAATATATTGATATTCAAAACTAAAACTGCATGTGTAAGGATTCAATATGATTATTTGTTTAAGAAACGAATCAAAACAAATGTCTGCATTTTCCAAACAAAAAGAAAACTTTCCATTCTAATATCTTTTGAGCTTTCCATTCTTTAAATAGATCAGCTTAGAAATAAGGATTTTTATTTCATTCATGATTTCTCACCACCTTGTACACGAGCTTTACACTGATTTATAAAACTTACTTATTGTACTGCTAAAGAATAAACATAATCCTTTTACCTTCTTTCATTATATGTCAAATGCCTTGTTTCAGGTGGCCTTGCTGTTTCTGATCTTGACTGTAGGCCTGTCTGCTGCGGTGGTGTGTAGAGAACCAAGCTTAGAGGATTTAACTCAGCTCAAGAGTACCCTTCCGGAGTATCTTTACATAAACAGTCATTCCCCCTACGGAGAGTAAGTCATACACTTTATATTTGTATACATTTGAAGCATTGGGTTGAATGTTCTG